CTAGTATTTTGTTATTTTGAATTCATTTTTATTTAATGTTTTTAGATTTAATTTAGATTCAAGTTTTAATATTTAGGAATGCGCATTTATAATGTTTTTCTTTTTATTATTTCAATTTAGTTTTTATTTCATTTTTAATTTTAGTACATCAGTTAGTTGCCAATACTATACATTTCTAGTTTTTGAGATGTTTATTTTCAGAGATATTTTTTTCGCCTTAATTTCAATCAAAGATAATTATTTTAAAACACCAACAACAACACTGTCCTAGATGTTTGTTTTTTGTAAATTGTAAGTATTTATTTTTTTAATCTCTCTTTATGTCATCAGAGATGTTATGAACACAAGCAGTACAGAAATGGACTGAAATTCTGCAAACAGATTCTCTCCAATCCCAAGTTCTCAGAACATGGAGGTAAGAACCCCACCTGGAAGAGTTCTTGACATACAGGTACACTCGGATTTCACTGCCTATACAATTTAATCTGAATAACATGGACAAAAATCTAAACGAATTGAAATGAACATATTCTAAACAATATTCACTCGAACATGTCCATGTCTGTTGACAAGACAAAAATGAGTGACTGGGCAGAATGACCAATAAGGCTGTTATCACGGATACTGATCATTTCAAAATAGCCAAATTTCAGTCTGGCACATTAATACTGCATAAAACAAACATATTTGTATATTTTTATACTGCAATGATATAATCAAAGTTATCAGCTGAAATTTGATTGTCTTCAACATAAAACATTCTTGAGTGAAATGTGTAGGGGCTTGTTTACTTATCCCATGTAAGCTTACTAAGTGTTAATGGGTAAGGTAAAGGTTATGATCTTTGCAGAGACACTGGCGATGAAAGGCCTGACCCTGAACTGCCTGGGGAAGAAAGAAGAAGCCTATGAACTTGTCCGCAGAGGTCTCCGAAATGACCTGAAGAGCCATGTCTGTATCCTTGGATATAGAGACCAACACACACATTTGAAAGCTTTCGGTTTGACATTTATACACGGTAGTATGATAATGGTCCATGTGTTGGAGCAGTTGGAATGAGTTTATTTCCTCATGTTCACAGCAGCAGAATTAGCACTTCAGTATTTGTCTCAATTTGAAGCCTGTCGCGGCCGGTGGGGGTGATGGACCCCTGCCAAGATTCCTGCCCTGTGTCTGACTATGATGTGCAGTGACCCCATGAACTGTTTAGAGAGCCAAACACACAGTACAGTGTTTCCTCGCTGCTAGTCAAATGCTTCCAGTGGAATGAGTTTATTTCCTCATGTTCACAGCAGCAGAATTAGCACTGCAGTATTTGTCTCAATTTGAAGCCTGTCGCGGCCGGTGGGGGTGATGGACCCCTGCCAAGATTCCTGCCCTGTGTCTGACTATGATGTGCAGTGACCCCATGAACTGTTTAGAGAGCCAAACACACAGTACAGTGTTTCCTCGCTGCTAGTCAAATGCTTGTTTTACAGAGAAAAATACCATATAGTTAATTACTTCTTTCTTTTATTGGTTCTTTCTTCATGAGACACCATTACCACAGTTTTTGTTTTTTAAATGCTTATATTTATTTGAATTTAATTGAAGATGTTTCTCTTCAGGTTTAAGGATGGGTAGACAGAAGACAGACCAAGTCAGCTTAATGTTAGATATTTTCTTGAATTTTTATTAATGGAGACTGGCCTTGATGAAAATATGTAGTATAAGCCAATTATGTAAATTTGTAACATGTTGTTCATGCAACTTTATTTATTTTTGCTTACTATCATTCTGCCTTCTCCATAGTATAAATGAAACGTATAGCTGTCTTAATATATATTGCATGGGGATCTTTATATATGTCTCTGGCCTTGCAAATTTTAGTGATTGTCCTGGGCACAGTATTGTACTGTCATCAGCTCTGTAGTGTCTCTGCAAAGTTCCCCTGCTGTCCTTAATGTGACATTTTCAGGCTGGCACGTGTACGGTTTGCTCCAGAGGTCTGACAAGAAGTACGACGAGGCTATTAAATGCTACAGAAACGCACTAAAATGGGACAAAGACAACTTGCAGATCCTTCGAGATCTCTCCCTCTTGCAGATCCAAATGAGAGACCTGGAGGGTTACAGGGTGAGTATGTGTATGAGTACGTTTCATTTTATTTGCTGAACAGTACAGTACAGAATTTTTCAATTCTTTATTGGGTTCAATATGATTGTTTTGAAAGAAATTGCGGGTAATGCGCACAATTTCTATTTCCTGCAGTTTCTGCCTTTATAATGCGGGAGGTTCCCTCAAACAATATCAACTAAAGCATGTAGTTTTAGTAATCCACACAGATTATAAAATCAAATCAGTATTTTGAAAAGTTTCTGTGAGACTGTAATTTCACAAATAGCATGAATGAATCAGCTTTTTAAGAGATGTCAATTCTTGAGTGAATAATGTTCGTAAGAGTGAAGACTGTCCAGTGTTGTTTTACATTTCATAACTTTATTCAATTTCTGTAGTATTTCTGTACCTGAATACTAAATGTAGACTTAATATTTTTATTATTAGGAATACTAAGATTTTCTTAATCATTATTATTAATATTATTAATATTAAGAAATGTACTATGAAAATATTAGTACATTTATAATTGTATATTTATTCTGCTGTATTTATTTATGCTATTGCTCAATTTGTTTGTTCTTATTTTATTACTGAATGTTTACTTCTCTTTAAAAGAAATTCAATTCAGAGTTTGAAATCAAGATTCCTTGCGTCGTGTGAATCAAAACATAATTATATAAACTGTAAAAACTTGAATACTTTGAGTGAGGAAATATTTAGGTGAGATGATTGTAAAATATGTCTAAAAAATGAGCACCAAATCATAATATTACAAAGATTTCTGAAGAATCATTTGACACTGAAAACTGGAGTAATGGCTGCTAAAAATTCAGATTTGCCTTCACACAAATAAAATACATTTTAAAATGTGAAAATAGAAAAGTTACCTTAAATTGCAATATTACTGTTTAATATGTAAAATATATTGAAAAATTTTATATTTATTGCATCATTGTAATTAATAGCCCCATATTATTGCACAATTTTGAGGTGAAACACAAAGCAATGCATGTGTATGTTGGGCCAAATACGGGGGCTATGAATCAGCAATGTTCATTTCCTGTCTCTTGAGCTTGCTTCTCTCTCCTCCTCTCTTGTGTCATTATTTCTTTGTCTTCTGCAGTATGATAAAGTGGGTGCTTAATGTTTCATACCCTCAGGCTACTCTGATACCTGCTTTTATCACTTAAATGAAAGCCTTTCAGATTTGGGCTTTGTGCAATATGGCTCCACTGTGTTATTCTGTAGTTTTAAATGGTATTTGGTTACATCATTTTGGAAGGGGTCTAATTTCACCTCTACATTCAGCAAGAACTTTATAAAGCTTGAACCTTTTAATCCTAACAGCAGAGAAATCCCTCGTTCTGACTGCATTGACTCTTATAGGAGACCCGGTATCAGCTGCTGCAGTTGCGGCCAGCCCAGCGAGCGTCATGGATTGGCTACGCCATTGCGTATCACCTCTTGGAGGACTATGAGATGGCTGCCAAAATCATTGAGGAGTTTAGAAAAACACAACAGGTAAATGCAGACATGACGGGCAGATACAGCAAGATTTGTGTTCTCAATTTTGTGGGGTGGTCACAATACCAAAATGTTAGTAGTTCATGCCAGTACCACTGAAAACAACATCTTAAACCCTAATTTTTGATAGTGAAAACAAGTATGTTAATGAACACATTAAATATAATATGCTTTGAAACAACATGGATTGTGAAAAGTCAGAGGCAAATTAAATTAAAACAATGGTATGTACCAGTCATATTAAGTACTATTTGTACACATTTATAAATTTGTACAAATTCACTTTTTTTTTTTT